AATGTAGATACTAATGATATACTTGCATTTAAAACTGTAATCATCTTTATTAAACATGTAAATACAGAATATGCATTTGTGTAAAGTATAGAGCCGGTCACAGTCCACGTGAACAGAAACATAATACCAACATGGCAACATAGAATGACAAAATTGGCATAATCCTGTGTCTTGTTAGAGATTTGATATTGGGTCTGTGCTTGTATAAGAAATGACAAATAAAAAATAAATAAAAACAGTAATGATTTACCAATGGTGATGTTTTCTCTTTCTAAGAAAGTTGTGTTCATAAAGCGAGAGGAGAGTTTTAGATATGTGGATGAAAAGAAAGAATGTGGAAATGCATGTGCATGTGGAAGTTGAAGCAGAAGCAGCCAACAGCAACAAATGCAGACATCAAAACTTTGTGATTGCTACTTGTAGACTCCCTCTGTCCATGAAACACCCTCTTATTTTGTTCCATTCACACTCTTTCACACATGATATTTTAACAATTTTTTTATAATAAACCATGTGTTACTATTTTATCAGTACGTATATTTAAAACGGATTAATTACAAACTACTACGTAAATTATTATTAAAAAATTATTAAAAAGACATTTTTTATTTCTCATGTATCACTTCATAACAAGAGAATTAAAGGATATTCTAGAATTTTATCATTTAAATTGAAATGTAAATGGTAGGATTCAGACTAAAAAATACTAATTTAACTGAAATTGACTATTTAAAATAGGTTTACAATTGATCATACTTATTTCTTTTATAAAACAGTTTTTAATCAACTTTTTAATAGTTTTTCTTAATTAACTAAGAGAAATCTTTTAGTTTATTTTCATATGAGTACAGTGTTAATGGAAAGAAAAATGTGAAAGGTGAATATTTACATCTACAAATTTGTGAAGAAATGTGATGAGAAATTTGTGAGGTTTTTGTACATCTACAATTGGAGAAAAAAACGACATGAAAGCAAGAGTTTGACGTTTTGGTTTTACATTTTTACCCTTGATTTTTGTGTATGACATAAACCTTCCTTGACCAAACCCTACCCCATTACAAGTTGGTTCATATTATTGAATGCAACCTATAACGTCTTTTGGAGGTTGGCATTAAAAACCTGTTAACCCTTGTTTTTCCTTCACACGTGCATTGCTTCCTTCTTGTTTTTTTTTTTTCTTCAGAGCTTGATTGCTTCATTTTCTTACTCTCAATTTCATGAGTTCCTTTATTCTAAGATTCGTTGCCAAAGGCAATTTTAACAAAGAGTTTTCGTGTTGATCAATATATTATGCTTCATATATAACTCCATATTTTTATATATTTGTACTCGTTTTTATACATATTTCCATTTTAAATTAATACAACACTTTATTTATTAGGTAATTAATCTAACAAACTTATCTTCAATTAATATAATCTTTGGTCCTTAGTGTTCTTTCATTTGTAAAACCTTTTTTTCATTCTCTCACCATACATTTTTTTCATTTTTTCTCTTAAATGTCTGTCTAGTTAAAAATAAACGAAGTTCACTTATATTGCTAAGATATTTTCTCTGATTATAAAATTGATTATACATTTCTTTTCTTATTCGATTTTGTTCAAATGATATATCGCATTTAAAGAAACATAAATGTGAACTTATTAAGTCAAATAGCTTTCAGTAACAATTAGTTACTTTTACTTATTTTTTAAATTTGTATTTACTGTTTATTTTTTTATTTAAGAATAAGTGTTCAATCGCATAAATCTTAAAAAGTGAATAATTTTAATATTGAATCTTTAATGAAATCATCTGTTTATTTATTGTGATTTTTTTATTTTGTAAAAAAAATATTTATTTAGTAATTAAAACATTAAGGAAAAAAAGTACAATACTTATTTTTAGTAGGGATAGAGATAAAGATAGAGATGAAACAAAATTTTGATATTTATTAGGTATTGAAACGATAGTTTATTTTTACTTTAGAGATCAAACTTGTATTTGTTTTGCTATGTTGTCCTACTTGAAATTGCCTAAGAAATAATATAATGATTTATATTTTTTTTTTATCGTAGCACTGGTCCAATTTACATAGTTATCCAGAAACCCAAAATCATATAGACATTTTTAATGAAAAATATCTCATCCATGTAACTAGGTATCAATTATGACATTATAACTCGTTTACAATTGTTGAATCTATAATTATTAAATGTGTTTTTAGTTCTTATGAGAAATTAAAATTCCTTTATACCCAAGAATACATTTTAATCTTTAAATTTTAAAAATAAATAAATATAATTTACGTGTAAAACATATTTCAGGTTTGATATTTGAATAATTTACATAATTTGAATTACTTTTTTTTGTGTGTAAATATGTTTAAATATAAAAAAATTAAAATAATTATATTTATTATTTTTAAAATTTAGAGATTAAAATATATTAAAATTTAAAATGTGAACAAATTTTCAATGTTAAAACAATTTATTACAAGTAACATCCAACATCATTTATATTTTATGTTTTCCTATTGTCAATTCACATATTAAAATTTTAATCACCAAACTTTAAAGGATTAAATATATTTTTAATCCGTTAACTATCAAGTGATTTTGGGTTCAGAGTTTTGTTCATTTTAGTCATTTTATAATTAGTCCTTAAAATTCAACGATGAAGGGTTGGACGTTCACGAGCTTGGAATGATCAGCGGTAACGTGACAATCAATTTCTAAAAAGAAAAGCAACCTGTCAGAGAGTAAAAAGGAAAGCTAGCTCGCCAATGAACAAAACTTTTGAATAGAGACTAAACCCAAAATCGCTTGAGAGTTAAAGGACTAAAAACATATTTAACCCAACATTAAAAAATATTACAAAATCTTACTTTATATATTAAAGAACATGTCTCACTTTTTTTTTTTCAGAAAATCATGGTTAAAATATTTTTTTTCCACTAATTCTTATAAAAAAAACTAATTAGATTTTTCATTTGTGTTAAATTCACATTACATTAGAATGTATACATTAAACTTTTAATTAAAATGATTTAATGTATAAATTATAATAAAAATCTAACATCAATTTAAAAATGACTTCATTAAATTTTTTTGAAAACTAAAAAACTAGAACTAAATAAAAATTAAAAAATAGTTAAATATTTTAGAAAAATTAGAGGATCAAAATAGAATTGAAAAATAGTACAAAACACCATTTTAAACTTAAAAGAAAATAGATTTCTTTTTCATCTCTTGTTTCTTTTATGATGAAAACTTAAAAGAAAATTGATCTTGAATCCAGCACCCACTACACTGTTGAGCACATGAGTGGGATGTTCACTGTCTAACAAGGAAACTTGTCAATGGAGCAAATTAATAAAGCATGCACACACATCATAGATCATCCTTGTCGTCGTGCTACTTTTTGCTTTTGCTTACCAAGTCCGTGAATGGACAGGACAAGAAGAAGGAAGGAAAATACTATATTATCTGCACAAAAACACCAGATTCTCTTATTAAATATTACTCATAAGTTGGGAATGAAACGTGAAATTATACATTTAAAGATTAAAAAAAACATTTTATTCAACCTATACATACCCAAGATTCTTTCATTTAAAATTTATTCCGACACAGTATAATTGTATAAATATGATTAACTTATTACCACTCACATTCTATTATGGGGATTTGTACCATGACATACATAAATGAAGTCCAGAGAATCTTATAAATTTAAGTATCATTTACCAAGTTTTATATTGAATAAAACTAAAAAAAATTAATATATAAAACTGGACATAGATTGAACCTTAAAATTTCATATAATACATTTTTTTAATATAGATAATTCATATTTTAAGCTCATTTGGATAAAAAAAATTCCATATATATTTGTCATTTCATTCTAACCCAAAAGCCTTTAATAAAAATTAGCTTAAGACTTACTTACATAATTTAATTTACCTAATTTAATTAAAGTAAAATAAAACACCATCTTGGACGAGCATAGATTGAAAAAGTTGCGAAAGGTGACGCGTTTCCAGCTGTTAAATCCATGTCCATATATATATATATATATATATATATATGTTTGTGGTTTGGATGAAGACAAAAATATCTTCTCCAAATCTACATCCTTCACAAACTCAAATCCTATAGTACAAAATTAGTGAATGACATGGCTTGTATTAATATCCTTTTTCATCAATATTCTCACAATTTTTTACAAATTAAAGTTAACTTGTATATAAGTGAAAAGATTTTATAAACTAATTAGTATAATTGAAGGAAAAAAATTCAAAAAGTTTTGTTTACCTAAAATCTATTGGACATATGTTGATTATGGTATGTGTTAAAGAAAAAGATAAAAATAACCATTCAAAATAAATTTAGTTTTATAATCTTGTATATGTTTTGGTCAAATACTATTATCTTACTTTAAAAAATAAAAAATGCCATTTTTTTTATTCCCATAAATAAACTTGTGGTGTTTATTGTCATATTGTTATTTTAACTCTAATATCTTGAAGTAAGTATAAACTTTGACTAATTTACCAGACAAAACATTGATGGATTAAATTTTGGTCGTATGTTTTAAACGGGAAAAAAGACCAAAAGGAAATGGAAAAAAATACACTAAAATTTAATATACAGAATAACAATATTTATATAATAAATAATTTTTTATTATTTATTTTAAATAAGAAGAAAATAAGAATAAAAATAGTATTTAATTTTATTACTTAATTATATTTTGTCATATATAAATTTATTGATGTTTAAAGTGATTATCCTAAAATCATAGAAAAGTAAAAGAATTATAATTACTTGAAAGAGTAAAAAGTTGTATATACTAAGTACAACTTTAATGAACTTGTAGAAAAACCATATTCTTTTAAAATCTTTTGTTGAAACAAGAAATGTGAAAGTTGGAAACGAGTAGATTAAGCTAAAGGAAAGAGGAAGTGTTAATAAAAAAAAGAGAGTTTGATTTGACGATGGATGAAGGGGCAAAGCCGTTGTAAAAACTGAAAAGCCCGGGATTTTTAAACAAAGAGATATGATGAAATGTTCCTTATAAATGAAAGCTCAGAAGAGGCATTGCATTCTAATGGTGTGATTAAGCAAAAGGAACAGCAAGTCATGGAATTATTTTCAGTTTTGCTTTCTTCCATCTTCTATCTGTCTCTTCTCCTCGGCCTCCAACTCACGCCGGTGTCTGCCAGGAAGAGTTACATAGTACACATGAAAGAGCGCCACGATCCTAGCGTGCACCCCACGCACCTTGACTGGTACACTGCCACGCTCTCTTCTTCTCCAGACTCTCTCCTTTATGCCTACACCTCTGTTTACAACGGCTTTGCTGCCACACTCGACCCTCAACAACTCCACGCGCTCAGAACTTCCGACTCAGTTTTGGGTGTATACGAAGACACGCTTTACAAGCTACACACCACACGCACCCCTGAGTTCCTGGGCCTCCAGGCCCATTCTGAGTTTTGGGAAGACCTTCACCACGCATCACACAACGTCGTTATTGGGGTCCTTGACACTGGCGTCTGGCCAGAATCCCAAAGCTTTGATGATTCCCAAATGCCTCAAACCCCCACGCGCTGGCGGGGAACCTGCGACTCCGCACCTGATTTCGACCCTTCTCTTTGTAACAACAAACTTATCGGAGCTCGCAGTTTCTCCAAGGGCTACCTCATGGCTTCTGGTAACTCCAGAAAACCCAGAGACATTGCTTCGCCGCGTGACCGTGACGGCCACGGCACGCACACAGCCTCTACAGCAGCAGGCTCCGTCGTCTCCAACGCCACGCTTCTAGGTTACGCCACCGGCACCGCACGCGGGATGGCGCCGCAGGCGCGCGTGGCGGCTTACAAAGTCTGCTGGACTGATGGCTGTTTCGCCTCCGACATTCTTGCCGGAATGGATCAGGCAATCCAGGACGGAGTCGATGTCCTCTCGCTCTCCCTCGGCGGCTCCTCCTCCGTTCCTTACTACTTCGACACCATTGCTATTGGAGCCTTCGCGGCAGTGGAGAGAGGAATATTCGTTTCGTGTTCCGCAGGGAATACTGGACCTCGAAGCGGTTCTGTTGCTAATGTCGCTCCGTGGATCATGACCGTCGGAGCCGGAACACTGGACCGTGATTTTCCGGCATACGCTACTCTTGGGAACGGGAAACGCTTTGCCGGCGTTTCGCTCTACAGTGGTGAAGGTATGGGAGATGAACCGGTTGGATTGGTTTATTTCAGCGACCCGTCGAACTCTTCGAGCAGCATTTGCATGCCTGGCTCACTGGACCCGGAGACAGTGCGCGGGAAGGTGGTGGTTTGTGACAGAGGGCTTAACGCGCGCGTAGAGAAGGGCACAGTTGTGCGCGACGCGGGCGGGGTGGGGATGATACTGGCGAACACAGCGATGAGCGGCGAGGGACTGGTGGCGGACAGTCATCTTGTGGCCGCCGTGGCAGTGGGGGAAAACGCGGGTGATGAGATTAGAGAGTATGCGTCGTTGGATCCTAATCCAACCGCTGTTCTGAGCTTCGGTGGGACCGTGTTGAACGTCAGGCCGTCGCCTGTGGTGGCAGCGTTTAGCTCTCGCGGGCCCAATGGTGTGACGGCCCAGATACTAAATCCGGATATTATTGGGCCTGGAGTGAACATCTTAGCAGGTTGGTCTGGTGCAGTTGGGCCATCTGGGTCTGAAGACACTCGCAAAACGCGGTTCAATATCATGTCCGGTACTTCCATGTCTTGTCCTCACATAAGTGGGTTGGCTGCGCTGTTGAAAGCAGCGCATCCAGATTGGAGTCCAAGTGCGATCAAATCTGCTCTCATGACAACGGCTTATACCCACGACAACACAGAGTCTCCGCTTCGTGATGCAACGGGAGAAGAAGCCCTCTCCACACCATGGGCCTATGGGGCCGGTCACGTGAACCCACAAAAGGCCCTATCTCCTGGCCTTGTTTATTATGCCTCCACACAGGACTACATTGCCTTTTTGTGCTCCCTCAACTACACCCTCGACCATCTCAGACTCGTGGTTAAGAATCCCAACGTCATTTGTTCCACAAAATTTGCTGACCCGGGTGACCTCAATTATCCATCTTTCTCGGTCGTTTTCGGAACCAATAGGGTTGTACGGTACACGCGCACGTTGACCAACGTGGGGGAGGCGGCATCTGTGTATGACGTGGAGGTTAGCGCGCCATCCTCTGTGGAGATAACGGTGAATCCTAACAGGGTTTCGTTTACAGAAGTGGGGGATCGACAAACGTACACGGTGACCTTTGTGTCGAATAGGAGTGTTAATGACTCGGCTGCTTCTGAATTTGGTAGCATCATGTGGATCAATGAAGAACACAAAGTTAGGAGCCCGGTTGCTTTCACATGGACATATTTTTGAGGTTTTATTGTGAATGTGCACACTTACTATTATCTAGTAGGCCATAGGCTGTAGAGTTTAAAGCAAAGAAGCTGCATGCATGACTTTACCAGTCTTTAGGCACATTGCTGTTGCCATCACTCCAGACCGAACTTGTTGTAATAACATATTCTACAAGCTATTGCAACACGACAGTCGTTAACACAACACCTCATCACGTGCCATAATGCAACAACGCCTTCCTTCCACTACTAATTTCAAAGTTTTAGATTTTCATCATCTAAATTCCCTCCTTAAGTGTATATAAGTTTTATCCAAAGGTTTAGTGATTAGAAGCATTCAAACTGAAGCAGAGGTAGAGTAAAAAAGACAGGAAGATGTAAGTAACGACCATATTTTTGAGTTTTTCACTGATCCCGGGATCTGGTGACCGATTTCACAAATATGGAAACAGATCACGGACAATTTTGCGCTCCTGAGCACCCATGTGCAACTGATGCATTTTTTTTTCTTCCTGTTTGGTACAGGCCTGCAGTTAAAGGTGGTGGCATGTTCTACCGCAGTACATACTACACACGGTCATTTCAAAGTTAACGCTTCCTCTGAATTACTAATTACTAGTTATTTCGAAGGGTCTTATTCCAAACGATCTCGGCCATGAATGGCTACTAATCGGTGTACCAAATGAAAAGACATTTCCTGTGTCCTGTGTCCTCTGTCAGTTATGCAGAAAAAGGTAGTTCACAGCAATCACTTATTTTCCTGCCTTGCCATTTGATTATTTAGTCGATCATCAACTTTCTGGTAGGACCACAGGGATTGAAACTTAGAGGAAAAAAAATCAATAAGACAAAAAAGAAAACACTTTTTCATTTCTGTTTTCGGAGATAAAACGCTTTATCCTCATCGTGTTTTCAGGAAGCTTACAGGGGTTACAGGATGTACCAAGAGTTCAACCACCTTTAGCTTAGTCATCAAGGTCCATTAAAACCAAGAGTTTGATATTATAACACATATACTACACTTCTTTTTGCATTTAAAAAAAATGGAACAAACATTGATTAAGCTGATCATAGCATGCAATCGTAATCAATAGTCATTTTCTACTATTTGGGTCTTTCACTTCACTCGCACAACATTGGAGATTGACAACAGCAGAGGGTCGAACTTATCTGACCCACAATTACAAACGGAGCTACTACATTTGCTTGGAGTATCCATATAGCGCACAATCTAACTTACAACATTTATAACCCTTTATATTTCCAAAATTTATACTCTAGCTATTATGAATGCAATTTTGATAACAAAAGCTTCAGATTTTTTTTTTTTTTTTTGCTTTTCCTTTTGGAAAGAATATACTAGCAACATAAACAACATGGTCTCCAACATGACTTTGTACAACAGCAACATGAGGTTACCTTTGGACAGCTTGGGCAAGAGCATGTGCAGGTGCATTTGCAACTGCAGCAAGAGGGGCAAGATGGACAAGTTGGGCACCCAAAATTGCAACTACGTGGGAGAGTACAACAATTTCCAAAACCACAGCTCTCTTTACAGAAATATGATTTGGGGCAAGAGCAGCAACAGCTCCACTTTGGTAAGGAGCAGCATTTGATGGATGGAAGACAACTGCAACTGCAACTGCATGGTTTGCAGTCACAACAGCAGCGTGGCAATTTTAGTGGTAAAGATAATCCTTCACAGCAGCAACAGCAGCAGCAGATCCAAGAGAGGTTAAAACAGGGCATGCCACTGCACATAAACAGGTTACTTGTGTTATTCATGAATCATGATAGTTATCAAATAAGGCTTACTATGAAAGGGTGTGCTGCTTCGATAAATGAAATTTAACCAGCTTATCAATCATCAATCATTTTCTGATGGCAACCCTGGTTTATCTCAGCTCAGGTACACACACTACGGTTAGCATAATGCATGATTCAGCCACATTCAAACAAGTTTGTTTGATGCAGAAAATAAAAAGAAGACAAAGATAACATAATAATTGTAAAAATTCTGAACAGCACAAGTGTGTTGTTCCTTAAAACTAAATCAGTCTTCACAGAAAGGGTGTTTGAGATTGATGCTTATAGTTTTTCTTGTCATTCATTCTTTACAACAAATAATTGAAGGTGTTGGAAAACAAACTAAACAGTTTTGCATCAAATACATATCAAGAAATTCAAAAATCCTACTTATCATTTAGTATAAAAAGGCAGCTAGTTATTGTGCTTGATATAATTATTATATTTGTATTAAAATTTTTAATCTATTTGCACCGAGACCAAATTCTTCTACTGATAAGGTTGTTATCCACATAAAGTAAAGGCATAAAAAAGTGGTACCAGAGCCACTTCCAGAAGCGGCATGACCGGCTGTTCTTCTTGGTTCTGCTTGAAAGAAAAGAAAGCATAAGAATACGATCTCTTTTAAACAGTAACATATGATGAATGATGAGAACAGTTCTTACGTAGGTAACAGAGGATCTGCGTTTGCCATAACGTAATCAGCAACCCTGCAACATTGTGGCATTCAATCAGCTATAATAGTTGAAACATCCTGAGGAATTTCTCAAGTTTCATAATCAAAATGTCATTCAAGCAACTCCACAAACAAACATACTCTTTGCAGCATCTTGAAGCTGGTTGAAGACCCTCAACAGATTTCAATTCTTCCTGCTAGATGCAAGATTTTGTCAGTAAATTGATTTCGTCACTAAAAGATGTCAGAAAGAAACTGCACAAACTCAACCCAATCGAAGTTGGCAGGTTTGACTGTACACTCATGGTGTCATCATGTTACAAGTTGCTAATACTATTCTAACACCACATCTAACCACTGAGAGGGGAAAGGGGACAAATAATTACACAAAAATGCTTTCAAACCATCCATTTCATCTTCATTATTGTTTTCAAACAATCAATCAGCATCCACAGCTAAAAGATTCCACTAGCCAAAACAGCATTTTTGTGTAAATTGGTAAGGTTAGCTACTCCTCACATTAGCCACAGTAAAGGAGTAAATTATTGATCAAACCATTAGAAAACCTCCAAGGCAGAAGATCACTGAAAGAGGCAATGAATTTGTAAAAAGATTCAAAACCGTCTTTCCTTCTTTTAAAGAAAAAGTCACATTCACAGATAACCTAACTAAAAACTGTCTCAGAACCCTGACAGAGATCAACACATTAATTACTCTGTTTCTTGCTCAAAGACAATCACAAAAAAAACCATGCCAATTTGTCATCAAGGATGTTAGCAAAAGGCATGTCACATTACATTACACTCCCCCCATTTCACATTCTCAAAAACTGAAGACTGAAGTTACAGAAGAAGGCTGTAAGAGAGGGGTCTGAAATTTTGAAAGAAAAAAAAAAACTGAAAAACCCACCTCGAGAAAAGTGATTTCCCTCTCGAGCATGTGAACCCTGGCTGTTTCACGGCGCTTCCCATACAAATCTGGGTACTCCGGCGGGGATTTGGGGGAAGGAGGAGGCAGAGAGGGGACGGAAGAAGAACGCAGAGTGGGAGTGGTGGCCATGGAAGAGAGAGAGGAGAGAGAGAGAGAGAGAGAGAGGGAGGGTGAAATGGACAGAACAAGAAATGGCAGGAGTAGCAGGCAGTAATAGCAGAAGTCCTTGTTGATGCACTAAGGAAGGGGGCACAAGTAACAGTAATGGTAAGTGACAAAGAAGAAGCGGCAAATGAGGTTAGGTGTGAATACCATACGAAAAGACTGTGGCAGGGGCAGTAAATAGGGCCTCTGACAAGGGATAATTAAGAAACACCCAGAACCCAGAAAAATACTAATAAACTAATAATTAAACCAAAATCCAAACTTGTGTTAAGGGGTTTGAGTTGAATTGAATTTGGAAAGGAAAAAAAGCAGTAACTGAAAAGAGTGATAATGAAGGTAGAAAGAGAGTCATTATTGTGGAGTGGGCAGAGAGGGCACGAGTGTGGGAGGGAGAAAGAGAAAATAGAAATTGAAAAAGAAGAATATGTGAGAAGAAGAGGGTGAGAAGAATGGAGAGAGGCGCATCTTTTGTGCATGGTGTGGTGTGTAAGGTAATAATAATGGTAAAGGGTATTAATTATAAATAGTAAAGACGGCTGAGAGAAAGCCTGCCACTGCAAGTTTCTGTACGAACCTATTTAGCAAAGTTGAAGGGGTTTTGATTGAAGGTTTGATTGAGATTTGAGGTTTCGTTTAGGCAAAGAAATCAAGTGAGAAATGCAATGGGTGTGTGTGTGAGTGTGATAGTGTCACAGTGAAAAATGGTTTTGCTTGTTTTGTTTATTTAATGTATTTGTTTTGTTTTGTGATGTGGTGGTGGTTCAGTGGAGGCAGCGAGCTAGCAGAGAGTGAGGAGTGTGGGGTGGTGTTGCAGAGACCAAGCGAAAAGCACGATGGGAATACCTCAGACCGCACGTGACCGCTGCGTAGGAAAGAGAAATCCTTCTGTTTTAGGCGCCACTCTTCCACCACAACACCAATTTGCCCTTATTTTCAGAATCATCAACTCCTTTCTCTGTTACCCGACCCGACATGCACAACAATATTATTATTTTTTACGACTTTACTAAATTAATCACACATCCTTCATGTCCATAATTAATTCTACGTTTCTTCAGATCCTAACTTCCCACTATTACATTAATTTAAAACTTTCTTTGCTCTGCTTCACTGAATATAAAAGCAACAAACTTCTTCTTTGATGTAAAGCTTCAAATTTACCAAAGCTTCAAATATATTTTGAAGAGATCTACCCATTTGGTTGAACGGAAATGCACAGAAAAGAACAAATTGCTCTCAGTTGCTGGTTTGATAATATAACATTATATTCTTCGTACCAAACTATTTGTACGGAAATGAACATTAAAATTTGAGTCTTGTGATTCAGCTTTTACATTTTTATTATGGGCGATTTAAAAGTTAAATAATTGATCATGATTCTTGCATAATTAGTTATGGGGATTCAAATTTCGTAAAGGTATTCTAATAAGGATTTATCTAATGTATAATTCACCACTTTAAAAATATAATAAATTATGTAGTGAAAAACAAATCCTCAAATCATCATATATACTTACATGATAGATTATATTTTTTTTATACCTTCAACATATTTTATTTTACTATTAATAGTGGTCATTCTCTGTTTTTCTATTATCTGGACATTGTTTATTTCGGTAAAAGTTAAAAAAAAAAGTGTAGATATTTGCTATTTATATTGAACAAATCATCTAATCCAAATTATTGTTGTAGGTATTACCTCCATATTTGGTTAAAAACACTTTGAACAGTTTATGCTAAAAGCAACATTTTTGGGCTATTAAATAGCATCCTCGCCATGTTTTTACTCTATTTCTTTCAGTTCCATCTTTCTATTTATTTTGCATATTATGCAGTTTCTTTCATTCACTCATTTTTGTCTCCTCCTCTTGTTTTTTTTAGACTCTTGTTGTTCTTTTGTTGATTTGGTTATCTTCTTAAATCAACTGAAATTCAGATTTTAAATCATCTCTTTCTTGGTTGTTTTCACTTGTTAACAACATATTTTGATTATTATTAGCCAATAATATATGGGCAAATTAGATGACGTTACTATTTTAGCTATGTTGTTAATGGACTTACTTTGTAACATGAATTTTATTTAAAATGTTTCTTATACACTATCAATTAGTTAGAAAGAATAATAACCGCGATTTTGAATGATAGTTGTTTTAAATCATAATACCAATATATGTAGGTAGCAATAAATTTAGTATAATTTCTTTTACTGAAAAAAATAATGATTGACGTACTCCTTTCTTTTTAAATGTTTGAGTTCTCAGAAGTATTTTTGGATAATTAGATTTGAAATTTATCTCAATTACAATATTTTAATTGTTGTCGGTCTAAATAATTTTCAAACTATAAAAATCAATACAAAAAAAAAACATTTGCATGGTGATGTATATTTATGAACGCTCAATGGTTTCAAAATTCAATATATATCCATGATAGATTTAACATTTTCCATCATAAAAACGCATATTTCAAACAAATAAATTTAAAAGTAAAATTTGATGGTGATGTATAGTTTTGAACTATTTTGATTATAAAACAATATTTTCATATTAAAATCTGTACAAGATTAAGCATCTTGCTTGTCTGTTAGTGTTAGTTCAGTGGATAAAGAAAATAATATTGTAGAAAATAATATTTTTTTGTGCTTAAACCAAATAGACTTATATTTGATTATATTTGTTTGTGTTTTGTTTACTTTACCAATTTTATTATTGACCATAAATCATTCAATAATATTCAAAATTAATGTTAAACATTATATTTTGTATGGAGTAAGAAATATGGATAATATATTCTCTATTTTTTTTAAATTATATTTGTTATTATTAAAGTAAGTTAATGTAATATTAAAAAGAAAAACAGAAAGCATACAGCAACTTAGTGTGTGTGTGTGTGTGTGATAAAAAAATTGAGAAAATAACTGTAAACAATAAGTTTTGAATCATTTTTACAATCTTGAATAATTTTGTTGCAAATTAAAGAATTGAATTTGATACCAAGTAATAACAAGTTAGAATGTAGGTTTAATGCATTATTAGACTGCATGCTGAAGTTTGAATAAGCTCAGCATAGTTAAGGTTTGTATACCAAATACGCTAAAATAGGTTAGATATTAAATTTTTCTGATGAATTTGTTTAATGTGATTTTCTTCCTTAAAAATATGCTTAACAAGTGGATCTATGTTCGGTTTATTTATATATATATATATATATAAAGTCCAAAAACAATATGATTTTTCTTTATCTATTGAACTAATATTATCAAACAAACAAGATACTTAAACTTGTACTAATTGAATAAACTTAAAATTTATATCATATAATTAAGGTTTGTATACAAATATGTTAAAATAGATTAATAATAAGTGTCAAATATTATAAAAACTTCATGTAAAATTATGAAACTTATCTTTTAAATTGTGTTCATTTTATATTATTTCTCTTTAATCTAAGAAATATGAAATTTAATTATTTGTTTACAAGTTTTGAGTTGAATGACATAATTTGATTCTATTTTGTTTATTTTTTATGAAATTTAAGATAAAATTAGAGGAAAAAACTTAGAAGAGTAAAAAGAAATTAAGAAAGTTGGGATAAAGAGTTAAAGAAAGTCTCTATCATGTTCTCGCTTAAATGAGGGTGACCTCTCTTAAGTTAGAATTCGTCACTCTTGAGTAAGTGACAAAGATCTCGTTTGAACGATATTCATCTATTGAGTCATTAATTTTAGATGTTATTCTCACTTAAGTGTGAATATTTTTAACTTAAGGAATAAGAATTTCTTCATTTTTATCACTTGGGCAATAACTAGTTAGCTTAGGTGAGAATTCAGGTAGTATTTAGATATCATGAAACAGAGAAAATAAAAAGTGGATGGAGAAGCTCTAGAGGAGAAGAATAGAGGAACAAAAAGACAAATAAATTAAATTTTCTTTAGTTTTTTCTTCTTTAACTCTTAATCAAGGAGGAAGCTCACTAGGAGACACAATACCAATGAAACTCAAGCTCAACTATATAAGAGATGGACACCACTCTTAACTAAAAACCTTAAGGTAATGGGTTTTTCACTTTTATATGGTGGTTCATTTCTCATTTCTACTCAATGTTAGAAAATCATTTACACTTAGATTCTCAATCATAATTTAGTGATATTTATATATAACTACTTAATATTGATATTCTTGTTCTGTTTTTAATGATTGATTATATCCTATAAATAGATCTTGATTGTGATTTTTGGATTTGACTAGGAAATATTTTTGAAAATATGATTCGAACAAAAATACTTTATTATTGGAATGTTAGGAAAAGATTTCAGTATATCAGTTGCTTATAATACTTGAACATATAATTGCATAGTTTTTGTTGAATATGTGAGGAATCAATATTAAGGAAAAACATCTTATAAACTTTATAGATGAATAATCAGTATAAATGATTGTTTTGTGTTGCATCAATATTGGTATTTTCATATGTTATAGGTTGATATTCATCATATTATAAACAAGTGAGATAGATGAAATTCAATCACACCTTTTATTATTAAAACTTTATTTAATTGCCTTGTTATGTTGATATTAATTATTTTCATTCAAACTTGATATATTTTTATAACAATTAATTATAAACTAACTTTTAGTCGTGTATATATGTTGATTGAAATAAACTATCTATTTTATTATGTAGGATCGACATCCTTACTTAAACCTCATTACACGAAAGTTAATTATTAATATGCTTGACAAGATATTAACAATTAGATATTAAATCTTTTGTGATAAATATGTTTAATATGATTTTTTTAAAGACGCCAACATATATTTTTTTTAAAAATATCTTAATATATGAATTTATTTTAATATATATATCGAATAGACTTAGAATTTATGTAATTATAATAGTTATTTTAGTAGCTTATTCTTGAATTTGAATTGGTTCTTGTCATGTAATATTTAGAATTGTACAAGATACACGTCTAGATATAAGAATCAATATTACATAATTCCTTTTTATAGATAAATCCATTCGTGTATAGATATGTTTATATATATTTTAATTTGTAGCAATTAAATTGTTACACCAACTTTCAAGTCATAATTTTATTTGTTACATTAATCATAGTTGTTCTCATTTAGAAAATTCAATTTAATAAATAAATAACAAATCATTTATCACAAGTTTCACCTGCATATTTTTATCCTGATTTTTACTCAAAGTGTTTAAGTCCATTTTTGCAGACTCTTTTTTTTATTGCTGTATAAAATAAGGCTACAGTATAAAATCAATTATAGAAATGATATTAAACATTTTGAAAATAGAGGAATAAATAAAGGGATAGAAACTATAATTTAACCTACAAGTTATTTTGATGTAAAATAATTAAGCTAGTACTTGACTTTAGACATATATAAATAAATCATAAGATAACCATCCCAATCATAAAAATGGCTTAAGAGTTAAATTTTAGAAGAAGCTGTTCATTAGAATTTCTTAAACACAATGTTGATGCACATTTAATAGAAATCGTGTAATGACATACCAACCCTTCTCCACGACATCTTTATTGTATGGGTGTTTCAGTCAATTTCAAACAACATACCTTTTCTTACCAAACAACAAATCAAATGTTGTAAAAGTGTCTCTTTCAAGTGAACATGTCTCACATTGAAGCTGCTTATTGAATTACAAACACTACTAAAGAGGTTAAAGAAGTGTGAATTAATCCCAATTTCCACCCATCCATTCAAACTAATGGTTTACACATATAAATTATTTTTCTTTTATCACGAGTTTCAATGACAAAACAAAACTATTTTTGAAATCCTTAATTGATATATTTAAATAAAATAAATAAACTCAATTTGTTAACCGAATCATTTTATATTCGC